CCCCCCACCCTCCCTCGCCTACTTGGTCAGCTTCGACGGTCTTCTGGACACTCCTCTTCTCTTCCCTGCGGAACAAGAGCAGCTCGTACAGGCGCTCACCCACGCGGAGTCTCAGCTCAGGCTGGACAAGGAGCGCGAGCAAGAGCTGAGAGATGAAGAGGCTATCGACGTCAGGGGGGACGGAGACGGGGACGGACAGGTACGAGTAGTCTCGAGGGAAGAGAGAAAGGCTTTATCGTAGGTGTGAAGGCGTGAGTCTTGGTGGCAAAAGTGTGCCCATTATTTGTGGCAAGCATCTGGTTGCCTTCGCGTTGTAGTTTCTGGTGGTAACCCTACCTCTCTTGTCTCTTTGGTCTCTTGTAGCTCTACCGAAGGCGCCACCGCTTGGAGAACTTGGTATATGGTGTGCATTTTGACCACGGAAGGCGTCCGCATCAGCTGGACAATTGCGGTCAGTATGGAAGGAGCAAACGTTGGAACGGTTGTTAATTTTGAACGGTTTTTTATTTTTGATGGAAGACGACGACGACGGCAACACCACAACACCGAATGTTTGAATCACAACCACTGGAACCCCACCCATGTGTTTGCTACCATGGCATTGGGCTACCCCGCAGCGGACATTCGGAATGGAACGAACGAGCCATAGGTAATAAGAATATGTTCTTGTGAAGTTCGCGCGTGCTTTGTGCGAATCGACCGAAAGACTGGGACAATATCATTGCTTTTTTTTTTCCGACATGTGTTTGTCGGCTTCTTTTGTTTTTCCCCGTGAAACGGTAGACGCTCCAGGGCTATGCCGCAGCAGCAGGCGTTGGGACGACTGGGAGCGGCGGCGGGAGCGGTGGCAGTCGTTCCAAAAGCTCGAAGAAGGCCAAGCCCTCGCGAGCAGACCGGGCGGGCGACTTGTTCAGCGACGCGGACGGCATTTCGGCCAGCGATATCTACGGGCTTGAGCACTTAGTGCGGATGCTGGCCGCGCTCCCGAGCATGATGGGCCCGGTACGTGCAGTCTTGTGGCGGTGTTGGTAGCAATTCCATGCCTGTGTTTAGTCGCAGAGGAAAAAGGTGTTAGAAAATGTAGGTTTACGCTTACGTCAGTCGATGTCAGGGTCGATTGCTATTGGTTCAAGACGACGGGTTTCTATGCAACCATGGGGAGCCGAGCCTTCGTCATGGCGACTCACAAGTCGTTCACGCTTGCGCCCAGAGGAGGATAGAGGATAGTAGTCCAAATTAGGAAAGAGGCGCCGTAGTAGCGACACTCGGGAAGGGGTAAATCAAACGAACGGACTTTGTAGATTGGCGCCAAAGGAATACATGCTACACCGCAAAGTGTTAACCCTGCAAATTGGTAACCCCGCAAACCGGTTGCCTCGCGAATCGGTTACCCCGCAGAGCGGTTACTCCGCAAACCGGCGGAACAGCAGCGTGCGCAACAAATGGTGTGCTTTGTCACGCGCACACTGTCTCCACTGTCTCTGTGTGCCCTCGACCCGCTGCCGTTGTCGCGCCCCCTTCACACTCAACTTTGAGTGTCGATTTGTTGTTCTTATCCGGCCTTTGCGACAACGACGCGGTGCTCCGTCGTGAAAAATCGTAGTCTAGCAGGCAAGTAGTGGATGAGCCAATGGAGTTACGTGCTTTCTGGCGGGTGCAAACCGCACTGAACCCC